CATTATTTATACACGCTCCATTATTAAGTAATTTATTATAATTTAAAATGATTAATGTTCCAGGAATGATTTCTGCGTGAAACTTTGTGAAGTTAATGTAAATTCTTCAGATGTTAAATAAACAGTGATCCAGGCAAAGATGATGGTAGTGCCAGCAATGTGTAAGCAGAAATTTGATGTGAAAGATAGCCCCAGCTGATTCTTACCAGTTATTTACATTTTTCTTTAAAAGATATGTAGAGGCAATCAGTAAGGAACTGGAAAAAATTGAACACATCGCAAAAGAAAAACGTCGTCTTGAACAGGCCGAGCGAGAAAGAAAGCAATGTGAACAAAAAATAAAGAAACAAGTTCTCCTTTATAGAAAAATGGAGGTTAGAAACAAGACATATTGAAAGACAGTATAATTGTATATAACCTATATACCTTAAATAAGCAATTGGCAAATATTTAACATTGCCAGCAGCCAATTAATTTACTAGAATGTCCCTAAAGATTTTGAAAAACTTGATGAATATGGCCCCAGTTCTGCACACACTTATGCATGGTTTTAACATAAGGCACATGAGTCCCACTGAGTTCAGTATTTAAGCCTGACAGACTGTTTTACTTTTAGACTTCAGATTTCTTGACAAACATGCCCTTTGGGTGAATGAGTTTTACAGCTACCAGTCCTAGCACATGAAGCAGGGACTCCCAAACTGCAGTATGTGCACTGCTGGTGGTATGTAAGCTTGATGTCCTATCCATTGACTTCATGTTTTTTTTTAGATGCTGGCATGCATGAACCAATAAGACTTAGACATTTGTGTAGCTGTAGGTAAAATCCTGGCTCAGATGCAGTCAAGGGTAAAAATCCTTTTGAATTCATCAAGTTGAAGTTTACCCTGATCTGTATCCACCAGCACTGAGAGTCTGAACAACAGGATTTGTGCTAATGACTGCTTGAAACAAATACAAGTGGAATTTTTCTAAATACAAAATTTTGCCCACAAGGTGGGAGCATAGGCTCCATTAAAGAGCAGCGTCTGTGGGGTCACATCCAGGGTGGAATCAAAATGTGGAGGTTTCCAAGTTTATATAGGGCATGGGCAAAAGCAAAGTTCTTATAAATGGTCATTCTGTTCTACTGTCAACCCAACAATCTCGCTGCTTTGCATAACAGTAAATACTACTCAGTTTTTGCAAAATTATTTCCCAAATGCATTTCCATGGTAATGCCACTGAAATCAGTGGCCTGATGCTAGCAATGAATTTGGCCAGTGTCTTCAAAATGTACCAATATCAAACAAACAAAAAATATCAGTGAATGAAACAACAGAAAAAATATTATATATGCCCCAAAGAACTCAGCATACACCTCGTTGTTTCCTTTTGGTGCAACACATTTGTGATGCTTAGGAATGGAAGAGAGAAATGTTCCTGCTGCTGAGAATTGGAGAGGACTTGAAACGTGAAGCAAGAATTGCTGAATTCCAAAGGAAAAGAAGAGAAGAGAAAGCTAAAAAGGTGCCTTAATTATTTCTGATAAAATGCACATGCCTCGGTAGGAAAAACCTAAAAATTACAACCACAAGAACAGTATCTAGAGGACTTAACAGAAACAGTGTCCAATACAAAAATCCTTACCAGCTACCCATACTTGGAAACATTGAGGTCTTTGGTGTATGATAGACACCTCCTCTGATATAGATTGATCCACTTGTTCTGGTGGCATTTTGCAGGGTGGAGGGGGAAGAGTGGAGAATGAAGAGATGGTGTTAGGTTAAAAGTTTTGACAAAAAAAACAATGACCTGCATGGTGTTAAAATTTATCATATTTAAAATAATTTGTTTTGTACATTATAGTGCACTATAGGATTTCCATGAATCTCACAAGAAGCCCTTTATGACTGGAGCAGCAATGTTTTTTAACTTACTTAAGAGCCTCTTTCATGTTGAATCCTATCATGAGCTGAAGTTCTAAAAGACACTGAAATCATTTTAATATCTAAGTTATCTGATAACTGCTGCTGGGGGAAGCACAAAGTGTGAGCCAAAACAAGGGTGCAGACTGAGTTTCCCTGCCCCAAAACAAATACTGATTGAGGGTTTGCAAAGCTGCTGAAGAGGCATCAGAAGGGGAATGGCAGCAGACTAAATAAAGCATTTTCAAGCAGAGGGTATACGTAGAAGACTGGGTATTCATTTGGTCAATGTTAATGGAACAGTGTTATCAGCCTTGTGGAGATTTCTTTCTAAGGTACACTTGGCAACTTGCACAGTTCATTATTCATTAGCATGGGCAATAGCAACAGAAGGATAATTATGTGTGTACCATAACAGAATTATATGAACTGACGTATGTCTGAATGTAATTAAAAATATGAATTTTGCCAGGGTACCAATTAGATTGTAAAGTCAAGCTTTAACAAACCAGATTTGCTAATTCAGAGCCCCCCTCTCCAGCCCTGGCCCAAACCCTGCTGGGCAAGTGCCCCCCCCCCCGGCCCACACGAGTCACTGACACACAGTTGGGCCCAGGGCTGGCCCCAGTCTAGGGTTGCCAGTTCTGACTGAAGCTATTCTTTTTCCCTAACACGATGTAATGTCATTAATTATACTGTTCCGCCCATTCACACTATCAATCTCCCAGATTGCTGTCAATAGTCACTGGGAGATTGATGCCGATCCCGGTAGACCCCTGGCCAGTTCAGGAGGGTTGGCAATGCTACCCCAATCCCCATGCCTCGGGGGGGGGGGCAGGGTTTCCCAAGCTCTGCCACTGGCGCAGAGGGGGAATCCCCCCATCCCAACCCTCCGTGCAGTCTGGTGATGGCTAAGCCTCATCCCCACAGGCACAGGGGAAAACAGTCCCTCCAGCCCGGGGCTGAGACAAAGGGATCCCCCCATGTGAGCTGATGTGGGGCATCACCTTGGCCCCAGGCTGGAGGGACTGCTCCCCTCCCCACACACACTTATGGGGCCAGCCAAGCTGGTGGCAGGCCAGGCAGAGGAGTGGGAGGGGGGAATTCCCCCTCTGCACCGATGGCAAGGCTTGAGGGACCCGGCCCAAGGCATTGAGGCACAGGGATACCCTCCATGTGGGCTGATGCCCAGCAACAACTGGGGCCTGAGCTGGGGGGACTTTTTCCAGCCCTGCAGGGGACAGCTAATCAGGGATACATCCCGCTAGGCTGCATTTGGGTGCCCTCAGCAGGGGCTGGCAAACCCAGAGGCATGCTCCAGCGTCCCCTAGCTTCTGGCCTGGGCCACTGCAGGCATCTGGCTAGTTGTCCAGATTCAAAAATGAACATCAATTCACTTACCAGTTCAATCTACGCAGCTTAGAAAAACCTTCAAAGACTGAATTGATTCAGCCTCGGGCTTTTTGACTGTCTAGTTAGCCAAGCAGAAAAGTTTCAGCTACCTAAATTAAATAAAACAAAGAGAAAAGCAAATCAATTAAATTGTCTCACCTCTTTTTCTTGATCCTGGTAATCCATGGAGGAAAGGGGAGACTGTCCATGCTGTCTAGTCCAAAAGTCAGGTACCAAGTATTGTGCATCTTTATAGGCCGAGAAGGTCTGAAGTACCACTCAGTGACCTCAAACCTTTTTTCTGAAATGCTGAGGAAAGATAGTCTTTGTGTTTGTTGTTTTTTTAATCTGACACTTACAAAGAAGCCCCAGATTTCTGCTCTTTCTGTTTTCCTGGTGTTTACATCAGCGTAACAAGATTTCTTTGATTCTTCTGTGGAGACCTTACGTTTTCATTCATTTCAAAGACCATAGTTCTGTGTTGACTCACAAAATGAATGAGAATTCCCTCTTCAGAAATAATTTCCTATTAATCTTCCAATATTTCTTTTCTTGATGTAACAGTTCATATCATTACCAGAATGCAGCTACAATTCAAATAGAAAAGTATCAAGTGTATTTCCTTTTAATATGAGACATACTCTAAACGGTTTTGATGTAGAGATTGCATCAGATTTCATAAAGGCAGGCAAAAGAACAGTTTCTAGTCTAAAGTGTAAGGAAAAATGATTTAGATGTTAGCAGAACCAATAAGTCTGACTGTCCCAACTTCAGTTGCATTAGGTCAGAGAGTAAGCTATTTCTAACCAGTTTAAACCAGCAATTTCCCATTTTAACACTACAACTGGTTTCTTTATAACTTAATTGTAATCTATCAATCTCCATATAAAGCATGCCTATAGACTTTTCTATATAGAGACAATCTCCATATAAAGCAGGCCTTTAGAGCTATACAAACACAAAGGTTGTTTATACACATGCTCGGGGAGGAGGGCAGGGCAAGGGTGCTTTTATTAGAGCAGCTCCAAGAGACACTCTAAATAAAGCATCCTGAGCATCTTGCATATCAGCATCCCTGCTCTTAAAAATGGTGGCGGAGGACCTTTATCTAAAGCTCAAATGCAGTAATTACCATGCTCCAGCAGACTTGATTAATGTAATTACAGTGCATTGGAGCAGCCTCGTTGTCTGTGTATAGATGCCCACAGTAACTACGTCTGTGTATGGAAATGTATACAAGATTCTTGACAAGTAATTTCCAGTTGATAATTGTTGGGAAATTCAGATTCTGAATTCAGCTTATACAGGTTTCTTACAGATAAGAAGTCCATTTGTTGAAACTGGACTTTGTCATCTGTTTTTCTGTTTCCTAAATGGAATTAGAACTAAATAGGTGCTTTTTGGGTAAGAATAATTTGGGTAGAATTTTCCTGTCTCTTTTTATTAATACTGACAGATTAAGTCATTTTTTATTTGAAAACTAGAAACAGTCATAAATATTCATTATTGTTAATAAAACCAAAGCACATTTTATATCTACATGTTACACTGATAGCTAATATATTTAATTATGAAATATTAGAAAAGTATGAACTGAAACATTATCAAAATATCATTGTGTTCAAGATTGTTCTTTTGCTCTTGAGATCAGGAAACTTGTGTTAAATACCTATCATTTTTCTTTAATTCTGTAGAAGAGAGTATTGCTAGAGAAAAAAATGGCATACCACCTGAGGAAACTGCAAGAGCATTCTTATCAAAGTGTAGCATTTGAAAGTCCTGGAAAGAGCCTGGACAAGCTTTTATCAGAAAAACAAAAGATTAAAAATGAAGGTATCTATAAGATAATATGTACAGTCTTCTGCCTTTGCCTTGCATGCCAGGTCTGCAAATGCCATTACTTCTCACTTCCAAAGCATCTATCTTCTCTGAAGTCCCTTGTAAAGAATTTCCCTCCTTTTACATCTTTTTCTGCATTTCTCACAAATATAGGTATTGTACAATTCATGGCATAAACTCTTTCTAGCATTCTACTCTCTCACGTTTCTTTTGTGTAGCAACAAGATATTTAAAATGATATATTGATGTTTTTCCACCCTCTAGAAGAATGCACAGTCGGCCCTTCTTGTCTATCTTCTGTTCTCAGTGGAAATGACATTAGGAAGACTTCATTCTCTTCACTAACATTGGAGTATGATTTCATGCAGAAAAACAGAGGATCTTCACAGGTATGAAATTCATCACCCATGCAAGTCTTGAACCTAAAATAAAAAGTGACATAATGATACATATCTAAAAGACATATCATTTCATTCAGAGTTTAAAGCCTGAAAGTCTAATTAGATCATCTAGTCTGGTCTTCACTATGACAGGCCATCCAGTTTGGCACAGTTAACTTTGTATGAAAACCAGGATCTTAAGTTTAGATAAAGCATATCTCACAGCCCTCAAGAGATTGGAAATCCACCACTACCTCTGGTAGTTTTTTCTCCTGGTTCAACACACTCACTGTAAAAAATTTGTGCTCAGTTTCTTATTTGAATGTGCTTGGATTGAGTTTCCAGCCATTGGCTTTCTTGACTTTTTCCACCAGTTTATGGGGCCCACTGGCACCCAGTATTCTTTCCCCGTGGGAGTATGTATCCCCTATAAGCAAGTCTCAATCTCCTTTTAAAGTGAAACAGACTGAGCTTTTTAAGTATTTCCCTGTCTGGCATTTTCTCCAAACTTGAGCCTTTTCCGGTTCTTTTCTGTGACCTCTCCAGTATTTTAACAATGCTCAACAAATGTTGAATGGATATTCAACAATGTAGAAAACAGAACAAGGATGCAGTGTTCCAATACTGTTCTCACCAATGCCATCTACAGAGGCAACAATCACCTCAACCCTGTTCATTACTTCCGCATTTATATGTTGAAGGATTGCTTGTCCCAATTGCAGGAATTTACACTTTGTCCTTACTGAATTTTATTTGGTTAATTTTAAACGATTTCTCTAGTTTATGAAAATAATTCTGAATTATAATCCTACTTTTCCAGCATCTCTGCAACCTACCAGCTTGGTACAAATTTGCAGATTTGCTAAGTGTACACTCAATCCCATCTTCCAAATCATTAATTTAGATATTGAACAATGCCAGACCCAGAATAGACCCTTAGGGAACCCCACTTGATACCTGTTCTTATTCATTACGTCTTAGAATGTCCTCTATATAAGGACATAAGGAAGAAAGTATTTATCACCATTCTTGCAGAAACTAACATACTTCTCAAATAGAGAGAAAGTAATATGGCTCCTTCAGCAAAGAGATTCATAATTAGTAAACCATCTTGGAATTTTTGCTTACAAAGCTGAAGCAATCAGAGTTAAACATCCTTTACTGTTGATATGACAGATACATTTTATCACTATATTTGTTTTTGCTGTCTTGTGGGCCTATGCACAATATTTTTATAGATTCATGATCTGATTTATCACCATACTTGCGCTTGATTATGTTAATTCTAGGAGTAGGAATAATGCTTTTATGATGGTTGGCCTATTATATTATTATATTTGCATTTCTGTTATTTCTGTTTACATTATATTATGTTTGTATGTCTGTTGTGTTATTTCTGGGAGCATGACTTTCAGCCAGAATCCTTAATAAATTGAATTGAATTGAATCAATACCTGCTCCCAATTAGACATTTGGACATTGATGACTATTCCGTGAACATGATCCACCTTGTAATTTTCATCATAATATATTAAAGTTTCTTTTACATATTTAATTTTGCAGAAAGACTCAGATTGTAGTGAGATGCATTTGGACAACAGCCTAAGTGGGAAATGTGAGACAGGTAAGCGTTGAGCCATCCCAGCTATAGCTCTGAGCTGGATATTACTGTGGCTTTGTACATGGGGTTACTGTAACAACAGGAGTGAAGGCTGCATGGATCTTTCTATTACACCCTTATTTTGCAGTAGCTCATAGCTTCTCCAAGCTTTTGGGTTGAAATTCTTGCTTATGCTAGACACTAAAGTTTTAAACCTTACACCAAAAATACCTGGGCAATTTTCAAGGACAAAGCAAATTAAATTATATTTGCCAATTTTATTTTTTGCTATTTATCAACATGTCTAACCTTTTAGAAAAATTTTGCACCTCGGCTAGAAATAGAGCTCTGTTCTGCTGTCCTGCAGACAGTTTGTAGGCTCTGTGCTTGAAACCATATAGCCTAAGCTCTAGTCACGTGTCTCCTAGGAGTTGCTCTTAATTCTGTGCTCTGCACAATTCCAGTTTAGCAGTGAAAACAGGAGGCTAGAACAGGTTTGTAACTTAAGTAACTTAGAATTGAATGGCAGAACTGGAAACAGAAGCCATGTCTTTAAAGTGATTTACCAACAATTCATCAATTAGACCACAGTGTAATATATTTCCTGTTTACATATTCTAGGGCACGTTTCTCTCTGATCCATGTTACTTAGCTCATGTTCCATTAATGTGCAGCCATTTCCCAGAGATGAGCTGCCCAAGTTGCAGTCCTCCAGCATCCCAGGATGCAGTGTGCCCTCCCCCACTTTCCTGTTCTGAATGGACAAACTTTCTACCCCTTGAACACGACTACCTGGGGAGAAGGGTTCTGGCACCAAGCCAACTCCCCCACCACCTCCCAGAGTGTGACCACCCCCAGGGGTGCAACAGCAAACAGCCTGCAGAGTACATACCAGTTAGCCAAGTCACAGAGCATGGATGGGTCCAAGAGTGAGAAATAATGAGAGCAGGGAGGGGGATATTAATGGGCTGGATCAGGTCCCAATGAGCTGGGGCTCCCTTCCCAGGACAGGGGAAGTAGCTCTACCAGAAGTGCCTTCCCTCACTGCTCCCACCTCCCAGCCATCCTGGAAAACACGGCCAACACCCCTCATACCCCAATCCTAAATACCAATTTATTAAAACATGAGACCTTCTTTAATTTACTTCTTCTTTATTTTATTTATTTATTTTTGCTTCTTTTTATTTTATCCTGTAGTGGCCGTCTTCCTTCTTTTTACCATTCCACCCCCATTTCGGTACCCAACCCCAGACCATTAACTCTCTGCCTCCCAGATTCATGTTCCCACCCCCACCGAAGCCTGTCCTGGCTCACCAGCCCTGTAGTGGCCATTCACAGCTGTAGCTCCTAGTCCTGTCTCTGCTCACTAGCCCTCTAGTGGCAAGTCACAGCTAGGCAGGTGGGGGACACTTTTTAGCCTTCAGGTGTGACTGCTCCAAACTCAAGCTAGCAACTAACACTGGTCAGCATTGCAGCTGCTCAAAGTGCAATGCGTAATATGGCCCTAAGTATCTAGTGAACAGAACTGCTTTGTTATTAACTGAATTCCTGTTTTTAAATACCAAGGGGGCTCTGCAGCACAAATCAAATGAAAAGAGTGCTAAAGTTGCAAGAGAAGCAGCCTGTACTTCATGTGTGTATTTTTGGGAACACAAAGGTCTGTTTTTCCTTGACTGTATGGACTGGTTAATTTAACCTGTATCACTACCCCAGTTATACAAATAAAACCATAGAAAAGTTCTTAGCTTTTCCTTCTGGCCTGATAGTAAACCAATACATTCCTTTAGGGATATTTAAAGATAGAACAACAGATCAATGAAATAAGGGAAACTGAGGAAATGTTGTTAAGTAAAAAACAGATGAGCAAAGCAATGATAACCTTTGCCTCTGTACCTCAGGCCCCGATTACACCAGCAGCAGCAGTGGCAATGCCATCAATCTGAATCCCAGAGAAAACAGTGGATGCGAAAACAGCAGATGCGAAAACAGCGGATGTGAAAACAGCGGAAACATTGGCAACTGTTCTACCTGTGCCTCCAGGGAGTGCTGTGAAGCAGCAAACAGTACAAACACCAGTAAATTCTCCGTTTCCTCCTCTGGTAAGTGGCCCTCCACTACGGAAGGGAGCCATTCATTCAATATACTATCTTCCCCCAAGGTTCATAGTGTCTTACAATAAAAAGCAAGGTAAATGATAAAAACATTAAAATATTAAAGTAGTATGAAACTAGCAAGTCCTCAAACAGTGTCTCAGAACTTAACCTAACTTGCTAAATGCCTACCCAAACAAGGAGGTCTTACATCACTTCCAGAAGATGGCCAGGCTTGGGCTCGGACGAGCCTCAAGGGGTAGGCAGTTCCAGAGTTGAGGAGCAACTTCTGAGAAGAACCTCCAACATGTGCACCAGGTCTGTTTTGTGGTGACAGGTGGTACTTGTAGGAGGTTATTTTGGATTAGCCTTAGGGATTGTGATGGAATATAAAGGAGGAAGCAGTCCCTTCAGTATCTAGGGCTGAGGCTGTTTTAGGACTTTACAAGTCAAAACTGGCACATTTGGTTGCTTCCAGCAAGCTCTTGGAAGCTAGCACAGACTCTGGAGCACAGAAGTAAATTCCTCCTGGTGACCCACATCCATTAGAAGACAGGCCACATCTGCAGCTTCTGGGTGGCCCTCTAGGGCAGCTGCCATCTATACCAGGGCTGTGACTGGAACAAACTTAACATTGGAACCCGAATCCTGACATCTGCACTGGCACTTGTAATTTTACCAAACCAAATTTGCCTTGTATTTCCTGGTGTAAATTCTAAAAAGTTCCAGGCATGTCTAACGAACTGGGAGATACAGGTATTCCAAAACCCAGAGGTGATCTCATATTGGGCCATTTTCCTCAGAGGTTCTGTGTTAAAGTCTACTTTGCCTATATGACAAAATAGCTCCTCATTCTTTATACTGCATGGCATAGTTTGCTTTTTCCACTTAACCTCTGAAAGACACAAAAGGGTAATACAGACTTCCTAAGCTGTGCATAGAACATACAGAGGGTTAAAGAATTGGCATTCAGCTGGAGATTTCCACAAAAGTAGTAAAGAGGAATATGAGTGATGCTCTCATATCTGAGATTCAAAAGGATAGAAGGAGAAGCCAAAGGTCTCATTTTGTAGGAGTTAAATGATTACGGCTATTTAATTTGAAACAAGATAAATAAAAAGGGATCATGACAGGGGCATTAAAATGAATGAATGAGACCAAACATGTCATTCAGTTGCTCCTGTGCATTGGTGATGATGAAGATATGCACCACTGACACTTCCCCACCTCTAATCCCGGAGGTACTCAGCTGGAAACGAGTACGCAATCATCTTTTGGGTGTCCTCAACTCTCAGAGGTGACACTGGGGCCTACTGAAAAATGGAAATGTCTCTGGACCCAACCCTTAGGATGAGAAGGCAATGGCTTATTAAATGCAGGAACTTGGAGACAGCTTTCAGTTAGTAAGTAAGGTATTTTCTCCATTAGTTCAGTATTGACTCCAGGAGTTAGGCCATGTCCATCTGAGAAAGTTTTAGAGTTTAGGAATATGTTTAAGCAAAACTAAAATAAATTACTCTTAAATTCAAATAAGAGTTTCCACAGGTGTCAGGAATAGTTTGACTGAAGTCATTTGATGTTACAGATTTCTGTCAAAGCTAGTATTTCAAAAAGCAAAGTACAACTTAAAGAAGTTCATAGAAGCAAAAAATAAACAATAAAATGTTAATTGTTGTAGTATAGGGTAAACATTTTATTGCCACTTGATTTCTGAGTCTTTTGTAAAACCCACGATTGTTCCATGTTTGACCTGCATGTACCACATTTTACGGTTCATGACTGTGGTTCTGACACACACACACACACACACACACACACACACACA